GGCCGAAGAGAAGCACGCTCCCTGCAATTAGGAGGATGATTCTGACAAGGAAAGTTACAGCTGGCCTTTTATACACTTACTTGATAAGGAATACAAAGAGCGTAAGTCTCAAATTGAAAAACTTCAATCGTATTTAAGTTCTATTGCTTAAGCAAACTTCTACTTCAGTAATTAGATGTCTAGTAACAGTGTTTTCTAAAAGCAGGTAGTTATGATTGGTCTCCTACACAGAAAATTATTTTGAATTTTTTAAACAAACCTTCTTTGTGTCTGCAGGCCCCTAGTCTTATGAACAGCAGATACATTTAATGTTGCAGCTGGTGTTTTGCTGAACATGGTGTACAGAGAAAGAATTAAACCCTTAAACCCAATGGATAAATGTTGATAAAGAAAATCAACTCCTGAAGTTCATATAAAAGGTTGAGCAGGTTTTACTTCTCTAGAGCTGAGGGGCACCTTAGTTGATACTGTTTGTCTCATTCTGATTTTTTTACAGTAGGTTCTGCATTCCATCCAAGTACGAACTGCCTCCATCAGCCACTGTTTTAGACGCAGTCAGAGATGGGCGCCTGTCTTTCGGGTCAGAACTTCCACAGTCCTCAGTGCTACAGCAAGGCACACAGGGAGGTGGCCCACTGTCTCCTTATAATCCCCGGGGAGATGGTGTACTCCTGAAGTTCCCTCAGGTAACATTTTGCAGGAATGACTTTGTCTTAGTTTAAGTAAGGATCTGATTAAGGATCTTCCAGGCCCTGGGGATTTCGGTTCTGTAGGCTTTGTGGCAGATGTGTTTTTATGTGTGTACAGTATCTATGTCTATGGGTGATCAAAATTATACTGAAATTTTTTCTAAAAGCTCCTACTTGCTACGTACAGTATATTCATTCAAGAAGAGGTCTTTGTTACAGTTTTCAGTTTATATTTAAATAAAGTTATTACTATATATTTTATTTTTTCATGCCTATTGGATAGTACACCCCTGGGTGAAAAGGCTTTCCAGTGCCAAAATTCTTTCTCAACAACCATGATGGAGGTCAGAAGAATTTCCTGTTGTACTTTGTTTGGTTCAGCCTTAGGAGGAAAATGTATTTTTGAAGTCATTGTTTCTGTGAAAAATAAGTAGATGGTGAATAAGCTTTTATTTTCCTTGTGGGAACACTGAACACAATCTGAGTTTAAATTAGGCTGTTGCATGTGGTAAAGCCGCACAATGTTATATGTTTGCAGAATCAAATATCCTTCCGCACCCGACTCCCAAGGGAGGGCAGATACGTGTTTGTTGTGCATTTCCGTCAGCCCGAGCACCTCTCGTACGCAGTGAGAGTGCAGGTGGATGGAGGCAGACCTTGGCTTGGTGAGTTCTTCATTTCATCACCAGTTCCTAAAAATGGAGCTGTCATGGGCGAAATAACAATCCAATAAACTAATGTCTCTCTCAGTATGTTCTTGATTTGTGTTTGTTTTAATGTTTGTTTTGTTTTTTCATTAATTGAGCACACTGTCTCCTTTACTTCAGAACTTGTTTTTGGAACAATGTCATTTTATAACCCCTAAAATCTTTTATGGTTTTATGGTCTTGCCTGTGATTTCACAGGCAATTTGCCATGTACTGTACAAATTCAACTGGTGACAATGCTGAGTACTGCAGATTGAGACCAAAAAATAAATCCAATGGTGAAAAAATGGTTTATTTTCACATTGGATTTTTAAAATGTAAAATGTCTATCCTAGTTAAACAGGATAACATTCGTAAAGTTGATTTTGTAAAGCGGAAAGTGTTTTGAGTTGGCTATACTGTGGCACGAAAAAGAATAGTGGGCTTTTCCTGAAGGTCAGAGTTGTAGGAATGCAACTGAGCACTGTAAAATCATAAAAGTGCCTCCAGACTCACACATGCAGGATCATGAAGAAGCTAATGATGTCGAGAAATGTGCTTGTCTTCTTTAAAGTACAGATTAATTTTGAGAAACTTGATTTACTGCAGGCTTACAGATCAAAGAAATTTAAAGACAAAAATACATAGCAGTGTGCACAGTGTGAGGAAAGCCAGTGCAGATTAAGTTAACATGGTTACACGTGGCACAAATGTGAAAGCTAATCCTTTCCTCTTCTGTACCACTGGCAGGGTCCTTCAATGCCTCTTACTGCCCTCATGTCTCTGGGTGCCGCGACCAGGTCATTGCAGAAAACCGCATAGTCCTGGACGTCCCTGAGCAAGAGCTAGTGCTGACCCTGGCCATTCCTCAAGGAAAGACACTTACTATGGTCAGTCAAAAGGCTTTTGAGCCACTTTCATTCATGAAATCCTCATGGAATGCTCTTCCAATGCTCAGATTACTTGGACAAAATCTGGTTTTAAATTAGATTGAATTAGGTGTCCACATGACCTAGTTACTTCTCTAGCCTTCGTTTCTCTCTCTTTCCTCTCACTCTCTGCTCTGCTTGTGTGTTCTGTTTATCTTGAATTGATGCCTTGCCTTTCTATGTAAATCCTCATGAAGACCTCACTCCTAATAATAAAATCTTTGTTAAATATTTATGTTCAGCTTCAAATATTGATGTTGTAAGATGGCAAACGTAATGATTTGATAACAATTAATACCACTATTTTGCCATGTTTACTGCCTCAAGGTACAAGGACAGCTGTGCAGAGAATGCCCATTGAGTCCTCCTTTCAGACTTGGGTGCTTTTTTAAATTCAAGCATCTGGTGAACCCTCTTACCACTACAATCTAAAATTAAAGTAAATACAGTAAAACCTTGATACTCATGAGTTCAGTTGTGGCAATTTTGTCTTTCATCTTTAATGACCACTGTTTCCACATTCGCGGACCAAATTTGCCTCTTCGCAGGATGCTCAGTAGTAAAGTAAATGTGGGCACCCACTTCTGCAGCATCTTCACATTGCAGATCTGTTTCGCCTGACCTGCAGCGGTCTCTGTAATAGAGCCGCAGCTTAGTTAACAAAGAGTACCTTATGTACGTGTTTATGTAGCAGTGCGTCACAGGTTATGCTTTATTCAGTTTCTGTCAGGAAAGTGTTAGATGCGCATTGTGCATAGACCTGTTATCAGTAAGTTAAGCCTGTTTGTGTCTCAGTGTTGTGGTGTGGAATAAAAGAAATGCTGAATAGCGAAAAAAAACCTCCATCGTCCTTTAAATTCTCAGTCTCAGTTCTCATGTGTCTTGTGGAAAAGAATGAGAAAATAAATGCTGAGTAAGAGAATTCGGACAGATTGCAGGAGAGTGAGTCTGTTGAGTGGGAAGGGAGTGAGCAGACTTACCTTATAACTGTGCTTTAATAAACTTTATTACAGTACAGTAGTATCATATATTATATACAGTATTAACAAATATCACAACAGTGATCTGTCTATGTTTGCACATGCAGTATCTTGAAATATAGGGGAAGGCAATGCTTTTTGACATTTAAAACTACTAAGAATAAGGACCAGCATTATTTCTGAAACGGTTAACAGTTATAAGAAAATCACTGTGGAAATGCTTGTTTTGAAACTGCAGATCCAATTTTGTCCAATTTTCCCGTTGGGTTTTATGTTCTGTATTCATGAGTTCACCGTGCGGGGAGACTTTACGGTACCCAACCTTTGTGATTACCGAGGTCTCGCTGTCTATGCAGTACTTCAGAATTCAAGCACGTTTAAAACTGCGAAACAACTCCCAAACTGCAAATTAAAGCTTCATTTCACTCTTAAATCACAAATACAGTACTCAAAGGCCAGCTCCCATTGGGTGGAAATAAGTAGCGAACTAAACCCCCCCATCTAGTTCTGGGCTTTGTAATTTGCTGTTGTTAGCAGACTCAAAGTCTTGATTTAACCCACGTAGACACGCTGTTAGCAAGTGTACGTATACATGGAGTCACACAAAACAACACCCCTCGATTCAGTGCTTTGATGAGATGCGCTGCACCGACAGTGTGTGGTCACAGAAGGAAGCTCTTTGCAGCCATAGCTGCAGGAAAACTGACACATCTGCCATACATTCAGTTCCTGGGTTTGGAAAGGTGCATGTACAGTATACCAAAAAATATATGCAATTTACCCATACATGGTATTATTATTTATTACTGTAATTTTGATGCACTGTAATGTTTCCCTTGTTGTTGTGTTTCAGGATTACATTTTGGTTGTTCCTGCAGATAATTATACTCCAGATCTACTTAGTGAAAAACGTTTGGATAAGTCTTTTGATTTCATCCATAAGTGTGGAGGAAACAGCTTTTACATTGAGTAAGTCAATGATTTATTGTTTATGGATAGAACGTAAAAAATGTAACCGCCCCTTAATCTAAAGTGTCAAATTTTCATATGACTCAGAGGAAACTGTAATGATAAGGTAAGCAATGATACATACTGTATATCTTTTTATCTGTCTTATTATGGGTCTGTGATAACAGTGTTTAAGATACTTGGAACTGGCCTCCATATTGCAGTTACAGTAAATTTAAATTAATATATTGTGGTGTTTGTTCATTCATTGCTATTTTATAGACATTAGAAATAACATAACTGAAATGAAAAGCCAATTGAATTTAAAATACTGAAATGATTGCTAAAACTAGGGTGACGAATTGGTACAGATTCAAAAGATGTTTACTTTAAGTAAAAGTTATGGAGTGGCATGAGAATATCTTCCTCACTTACAGACATTTCATGAAAAAAAACATCAACAGTCCTTTTTGTGCCCTCTCTGAGAGACAGAGTTTTAAACAAACGTGCGAGAGCAGGTCAACTTATTATCATGCCCACTCCTGCCCTCCTGCTTAAATAACTACCTTGCCTTCAGAGCACCTCCCTCTCCTCCACACCCCTCGTCACCCTCACAGCCGCCCCCGGCCCTGTTCCACACGAAGAGGTGGGGTGCTGTCAGCCCCGTCCTCGCTGTCGTGGATTTGACCCAGCTACTGTCACGAGGGGCTGTGAAACAGGATGAACACAAGGAGCTGACGCTGTTTATACTCGTACCTAATCATCATCACCTCCCTCCTGTGTGTGCATGAACATGAGAGATGGAAATGTAACCCTAGCAGTATGTCTGCCGTGAAACAAGCATTAGAAAGGCTATATTAAATACAATTTATTTTCTCTTGATCTGCTTAAAATTAGTAAAACATAACTGTGATCTGGTGATGTGTGGTGTGGGGCCAGCCTTCAGAACATACAGTACCTTGCTTATTTTGTGATTTGGACTTGAATAACCACTTAGAAGACTCTGCTTTGTGTGACTTGGACTCTGGTACTAAGGCTTTGTGAATCAAACATAACTATGAATCCTTCTTTGTCCTTTGTATTGTTAAACAATGCTAGAGCTGGAAGCTATCAAGCAATAAAACAAATGGAATGAATAAAAACAGCGACTTATATGAGAAAGTCACTGCATTTTTTTTAGCAGATGACTCACTAAATATTTTAAGCATGACATTAGCCACTAAGTGTTAAATAGAAACCAGTCTGCTGGTTGAAAGCAATACAGCACTGATAGTAGCAAAACAAACTAACTGTTGTTCCCAAGTTAAGATATTTATTATGAATAAGGGAAACATTAATTAAACATTAAAAATATGCTGTATGTCAATGCAGAGAAAAAATAAAAAGGAAAGACTGAAGTGTAAGAAGAAGTGTGTGACTATGAAATAATAACCAATATAAATATAAACAATTTTAGCAAAAAAACTGTTGCAATCCAAAAAC